TTTTAAGAATTAATAGGAATAATAAAATAATAGATAATATAATAATAGATGATAATAATAAAATAACATATACAATAAGACTAATAATAGCATTCACTCTACATTTTAACATGTCTCTGCACAGATATTGTAACGCATAACTACACTGCACTCTTTCACTATCACTATCACGTCACTACACTTGCACTTCTCTTTCTTCTCCTCATATTGTTACTACACTTCACTACACGTCACGACACTCCAATTCAACTACTACTTAAAATAATTATATATTTAATAAAGCAACGCATTTAATAGTAGTTATCACAATACTAATAATAACAATAATAAAATAATAACTATTTTTAATAAGCATAACTTACTAATTAATAAATTTTACAAATATCCTCGGTAAATACATTTTTTAATCTTTGTACACCTAGAGGAAATGGTTCCATGGGTGTCGCAGGTAACTTACTCCTGTCCGTTATTGTTCTTTTTGTGCAGGAAAATTTTCCTACTGAATTTTCCTGAAATGAATTTTGTGCTCGTGATTTCCACTACTAAAGTGTCGTGCCGGATGTAGATATCTTTCCAAGCTGGATAACCGGCATACGCTTTGTACAGGGTGCAGAGTCTTGCCTTAACCCTCTTGATTTCTACAGTCCCATTCTACTTTATTCCCATTGCTGCGGAAAGTAAGTTTACTTCTCTGTACTTTATTCAAATATTCCTTACCAAAATGTTTCATCATTACAGTTTCATATGTCACTGTGGCAAATCACTGGCGTCGCTCAGCGGGTTGACGCTCGGCGAGTTGGCGCCCGCGTGCTCTGCCGTCTGCAACGCGAGCCACCTGGCGTTGGCGCCGCTGCTATCGATCGCCTCTTAGCCGACCCCAACCCACGCGCGTGCCGCCCCCGCGCCGCCTCCTGACGTCCAGGCGCCCGAGCGACGCCTGCTGTTCATTAGCCCGCAGACGCCAACCGATAGGCTGGTTGCCGGCTCAGGGGATGCGGGACAGGGTGAAGGGATGGGGAGGCTGTATCAATCTGACCAGATGGCTTCCCGCGGCATCGACCCTCCCGACGGACCAGCTGATCATCTGGGAGGCCGACTGCTCCCTCGCCCTGCACGCTCGCCTATTCGTCCTCGCGCTTCGCTCCTCCCTCGACCATCCATACTCAAGTCCATATGGTCGCCCACACCTACATGATGAATCAATATTCTATTAGAACAGCCACTCATTGTCACATATGCACCGGCTGAGGTGGCTCAGAGCATCAAGTGATGTCCCTGCAGAACCTCTGACTGGGAGGTCCAAGGGTTCGAGTCCCGACGATAACAGGATTTTCTAAACTAGCTTGACCGCTAGGTCGAAGTTATACCGCTGTCTGGTGGGGAATTCTAGTGGCCGACCACTCTGATCGGTAGTTTTTCGTGGTTTCTCCAATAAGCTACAGACAAATACCGAAACAGAACCTTTAAAAATAGGCCACGGACCGAGCTTTCCTTCCTCTTCATCGCCACTGACTCACACTTACATGCACTGCACTACCCCAAAGTCGGGGGCGTAGAACACTCAGAAGCTTAGAGCTTGTTATGTCTAGGGAGGTGGGAGCTGGTGGGAGATACGTGGATGGGGAAACCCAGAAAGCCGACGCGACGTTTAAGTTGATTGTTTAGTGATTCCAGGCACGTGAACTACCAGGGTCATTAGTCCCGTAAGTATAATGCTTGTTTTTTGCTCGGGAGGTCGCTGTGAGTGTTCGACACAGTGGAGGATGTAAGGTCGCTTGTGCTAAATTTATTTAAATGAGGGCGCCAAACGCGGTATGAACCTGCCTCCTGCGCCAGCTCTAGAGATCTCTATAAGGGGTGAGTCGCTCTTGGTTGGAGTGATGCGCATGCCCTTAACTTATTAATTTAAAAAACTACTTCCTATTTATTGTTTAAGTGTTGTCCGTCAGAACGTTGGGCACACCTTTATTCAAAATAGCACTATTTTATTAGATGGCATTTAATGACTTTGTGACTACGCAATTCCCTTCTTTGTCCACTAGCGTTACAGTCTTAATTCTGGACAGGGACCTATGGTGATACATTTTGGGTTAGCTCGCTGTAGAGAATTGCTCGTCACAGTCCTAGATTCGCGCTCAAATCGCGCACGCCATGTGATGCCGCTAGTGGGGGAGTGGCATCGCAAGTTCAGGGGCTTCTGCGGGCTCGCGTCTGGATCAGTGCTGGGTCCGCAGCGCGCGCTGATGCTCGGATTGAAGGCTCTCGCTCTCGTACCGATGATGGTGTGTTTTTCTCGCTGAGTAGAGCCAACATACGTCACTCTACCCCCGTTGCACGTCGCGTCAGGATGCTCACCTTTCGGACGTTCTGGGTTTCGTCCGCAGAACGGAATAAATTCAGTTGACCTGGTTATTTCACTTGATAATAGTTCTAAATAATGCACTGGTTGGAGCAAAAACTTTGTAGTCTTCTTGTTGCGATTTCAAACACTCACAGATCTCGACGTTTTTCAAAGAAGTACATCTTTCCTCGGTGAAAATAAAAACAGCCTCTCTCAATGGATTTCAGGCAATCTCTCTCCATGGATTTCAGACAGCCTCTCCCCATGAGTGTCCTACAGCATCTGCCTTTCTCCTCTCTTCCCTGTGTTACCATCCCTTGTGTGTCAGTGCCCTTTGGTCACGCGTGTGTCGCTCTGTGCTGCTGCCCTGGGATGCCTATTGGTCGACCCAGTTCACACTTTGAGGACCACTTAGTCTGATCGTTCCAATAACTTGTCATTGTTTAGCTACTGTTGACGATGGGTGGGCGGGAGTGTGACCTCTGCTGGGAGCTGACGCTCTGGGTGAAGAAATACAGCTAGTCCCAAAGGATTAGCGAGGGGACATTTGCGAGACAAAGATAATCAAGGTGTCAAGTGCGTGGAGCACGTTTTGACGAAGGTTCTTTGCTTTTGGGAGCGGGAGTCCCAGGGGGGGGCTGTGGAAAGGGCGACGCTGTCGCCCTTTGTCGCGTTTTATGGGTCGTCAAGTCAGGCGGCAGCGTAACTAATGTGACGGGGGGATGGAGGTGAGGAGAACTTCGAGGCGCGTGGGCGTATGGCAATTAGCACACGTGAGATGTTGAAACATCTTAGTATGCTCAATACAATATTTTGCCTTTCAGGGAAACCTTATCGAAATATGTTTAGTAGTTCTAGTTCTCGAGATTAATCCAGAAAGACAGGCAGGAGAAAATCGTAAAAACAATTGAATAGATTTTTTATAAAAGAACGACATGAGCTTTTAAATAGTACTCGTCATTTTAAATTCACAGGCAGACACTTCCATTTTTTTAATATGATCATCTGAATCTGTAGCAAATTGCTTTTAAAAACCTCGAAGGAAATTGAAATACATTTTGTTGGTGACTTAGAGGAGAAAAGGAAACTTTTTCGTAAGTTTTCTATTTTGTTCACTTGCTTGATAGGGCTGTTCGTGTCTACATCAAAATCATATTTCCTTGGTATATATCGCTACGCCAGTATTCTTTCTTTTCTATTATTTATATATAGACGATAATTATGTTTGAATTAATTTTGATATACATACATTGACCATACTACATTGTGTCTAAGACCTGTCAGGCGAGTAACCATATTGCAAAAATATTGTTTCAACACCTGCTGCCACTAATACGTTAGAACACAGGACACGCCTTAGCTGTACATGAGCCATATGCAAGATAATGCCGACCCAAATTATCTTTCTCGTGATATTGGCGATAAATGAGATGTACTCTAATGAGATTTGCACATGCTAAGCGGAGATATAAGCTGATAGAAATGTATACAGTTTAAGTCATTACATAAATGATAAATTATGTTCGGTAATCTGTCATTATATAATATATTATATCTTTAATGAACTTGTAAGAGAGCTGACAATAATGTCAGTAGGATACATTTTCCAACACGACTTACGATTGTAATAGTAAAAACTATTACTACCTTGTTGTACATTATTAGTAATTATGTCAGTCAGTGGAAACTTATTACTTTCGTGGAATTGCTGTATCCTAAACTACACGAATGTCCAATAAATCATGATCTCAGGAAAAGAAAATAGGGCAGGTAAATCCTCTTCTAGTACAATTGTGTCTAGCATAATTCTTTCAAAACCAGCAACGATTTCACGGAAACTTCCAGGATTTAGAAATACAAAGTCACTGGGGAAATAGTATATTATACAAATAGTTAAATTTTAATGTAAACTTTATTACAGGGGTACAAGCTTTGAAAAACTATTGACTTTAGTAGCTAGTTTTCAAATGTGTACGAATACAATAAAGAAACAAAATAAGCGAGTTGCTCACGTTATTTTTATATAACAACATTATTAATTGATAAGAAAATCAGAGTTAAATTTCAAAAAAACTTTGTGACGTCACTGGTATTTAATGTCTGTTCCGAAAAACGGTCGGTTTACCGCTACCTCCCCACAATTCTCTCGTTGTGATTGACTAAATGTGTGATGACGCAATCATTCGTGCCATACGACAAATACGTCATAGTCTGTGCCATAAGAAGTCATTTGATGAAGGATTTCTTGTAACGGAAAATATCGTATATAATGCTGGAATAAAAAAATAGATATTAGATATTCCTTGACATTACAGGTACATACTTTATAAATTTCTTTTGGAGGACAGAAAGGAAAAATGAACAGAAAGGAAAAATGAAACAAGGACAGAACGTAAGATAGTGTATTATGCACGCGATAAAAGCGCTTTTATTTTGCCTTTTGTATAATAAATAACTCCTTCGACCCGTGATGTTAATCGACAAAAGATTCGTGTACGGAAGCGATTCCAGAAGGAATTTTATTGTTTACAGAATTTTATTCCCTCATCAAATACCATGTATTGTTGAACGTACTCTTTTGTTGTGTACAGCTTTCGACCAAAACATTTGAAGGCTCACAAACAAGTGATAGTGAACTCCTGCTATTGTTGCTCCGCAGAGGGCGCGGCACCTGCCGTGCCAGATGGCGCTGGCGTTGGCTCTGGCGCTGGCGCTAGCGGCCGGCACGGGCAGCGCAGCGCCGGCCGCGGCCCCGGCGTCCACCCCCGCCCGGAAGGGGCCGGAGGGCGGCGGCGGGGCGGCGCCGGGCGACGCGTTCGAATGGCGTCACCACGACAACCGCGAGCTGGCCGAGGTGCTGCGGGACGTCCACCGCCGCTGCCCCAACGTGACGCGCGTCTACGCGCTGTCCGAGGCCTCCGTGCTCGGAGAGCCGCTCTACGTCATTGAATTCGCCGCGCGCCCCGGCGCTCACCAGCTCTGTGAGTGGAGGCTGCAAGCCCAACTGCGACACCGATCACTGCAGTACTTTTGACCGGGAGGTCTTGGGGTTCGCAACAAGACGGTGACGGGATTTTTGACGCAGGCTGCATAGCTACGTCGAATTCAGTCGCTGTCTGGAGAAGAATTCTAGCAACCGGTAGAATTCTCCTTCAGATCCTTCAAACCCATTCTCCTCGGTAGTTTTCCATGGTTTCTTCGAGCAATACCAGGGGAATACCGCAGCAGTACCTTATCAAATGGGCCACGGTCCGCGCGAAAACTTTTCCTTCCTGTTCCTTGTCGTATCCACACCCCTTTCTTTCACTCACCAAGCATACAGTACACTTGCACGTATACCTGGAGACAAGTCGGGAGATTAGAGCTTGTGGAGAGGTGCCTGGTGGAAGATTCCTGGTTGGGAAAACTCGGTGAGATCGACGCTACCTCCCACTTTAAAAACATACATTACACTTACGATACTAATTGACGCGCCCGGAAATAGTCCAAGGAGTGGTCAAGGGGTGGTCCAAGTTAGTCCAAGAGGAGGTGCTCCAAGGGGTGGCCAACTTGCCGCGCCCTGGCCCAATGCTTCTGCGCGGACATCCAGATGGAGTGCAACCCAGGTGACCCGCTACATTTCGCGTCAGCTCGGCGGGAGAGGAGGGTCCGCAATTGTGTTATTAAGAATCTTGAGTTCACCAGAAACCTCCTTTGACTGATTCCTGATGTTTCTTTCTGTTCTCAGTCGCATCTTTGCATGTGACTGTGCTGCCGCTCCAGCGAAGTCAACATTTGCTTTGCGTAGCCTTTCGCGGCCGGAGTCAGTATTTGATTGGCTGTCCGGGTGAGCCCGCGTCCATGGCTAAGGTGCCGCCGTTTCGGCCGCCATTTTGCGACCTTCCTCAGGGCGTAATGCCAAACTCCCAAAGGAAGATCGCAGAATGGCGACAGAAACGTCGGCACCTTTGCCATGGACGCGGCGTCACCCGCACAGCCAATCAAATATCAAAATTTGCCATTGTCAGGTATTGCATGCACGAGACGTTTAGAGACCTAACTCATCTAGTTCCCCGAAACTCTCAGTGAAGGCACAGTCTGGTCGTCGGCACGCTGAGAAATAATGCAGGTCATGGCGGCCTGGGTGGTGTTGGGCAGACGTATGAAAAATATCCTGAAAGTCTTTATTCTGAACCTCTTTGCCTAAACGTTTTGGGTCATATCTGACATAAATACTTTGATATATTGGTAATGATTATAATGAAGTGTTATTAATGATATTGAAGCAATAATGGAATGTCAGAAAAGGGAAACGAAAAATGTCCAAAACAAACTACCGCAAACCTGCTTTTACTACCACAAATTTCTCACGTATCGACCGTGATTTGAATCCCAGTTCCCGGTGGATTGGTGGAAAGTGAGCGGATTGGCCACTACACTACGAGCCACCTCAAAGTACGTGAGATTACAGTGATGTTCAGCATTCGCACCCAAATTACTGACTTGTCTAGATGCGACGCAGATGCTGAAGATAGCGGTTCTTTAGCCCATCGCCACGCGTGGGGAAGTCTCCAAACGTCTGTCGCATGCAATAATGCGTCAACCCCAAAACCGTCAGACGCATTGAACAAGATCTTATGCCCGCAGACGTGCCGGAGTTCAAGTACGTGGGCAACATGCACGGCAACGAGGTATTGGGCCGCGAGCTGCTTCTGGGACTGGCCAACTACTTGTGTGACCGGCTGCGCGCGGGAGACCGCGACATAGAGCGCCTGGTGCACCTCACACGCATCCACCTGCTGCCTTCCATGAACCCCGACGGCTGGCAGGCCGCCACTGACGCGGTGCGTATCCCTCGCAGCTCCCGCCACACCCCTTCCGACTCTGGCATACGACTGTGGATGCCAACGGAGCCACCAGGTAGGAGGAGTCTGATGTTTGCTTTCTGTTTGGCGGGTCTAGCGAATTCTAGCCTAAGATTTGTGGATGCCAGCGGAGTTCGCAGGTAGGAGGAACCTTACGTTTGCATTTTGTTTGGTGACTCTACCGAGTTCCAAAAATGAAAAAGTGGATACTGTAACGTACTAGCGAGCGAACCTCGTTTGGCAGCTATGTGGGGACGCTTGGTAAGAGATTAGCAACAGGAAATCCCTCGCCACAGGAGGGAGAGAAGGGTTTTTTCTAAAAGCCAGCACGCGGCAAAGGGAGACACGAGTCTTGGGGGTCCTCCGGTCTTACGGAACGGAGACCCAAACCTCTAGCAACCAAAGGGTACTGCGGGGGCGGCGTGACGTAGTAGGTCAAGTGAGCCTCGAGTATATAAGGGAGTGCATAGAGCCAGTGGGTGGGTTCTGGAGACAGCGGGAGAACCTCGTGCATTTGCACAAACTTGGGGCCACAACGATGCAGCGGCGAGCAGGGCATGCGAGGCAAGTCACGTGTTGCCGAGCCTGTGTTCTTGGGTGACTGCGGTCACGTGGAAGTGATGCTGTGTGCGTGCTCCGAGGGGAGGAGTGGTTGAGAGTCACGACTCGCACCAATTCTCAATCGGGTAAGATCGCTCCTGTAATCAAGGCAACCCATCATGGTACGCCGGTGCGGCCTTTGTGTCCTACTGTGCATCCGGTCACGGAAGCTTGGCTTTGTTCGCGTTTCAGATGTAGGAGTGGCGAATGCCACAATTGAAACCGAACATCAATCGGGTTGGGATCGCTCCCGCGATCAGGGGATAGCATGTCTATCAGAGCTATGGTGTAAAGTAATTCATTGTAAATATTTGTTGTGTTTTTCTTGTAAATATATATTTTTTAATACGAAAGCTCCTTTCTGTGATCGCTGTGAATATCCATGATGTTACAATATCATCGGAGATAACAGGTAAGAGGAGCCTGTTATTTGTTTTTTCTTTGATGACTCACAAACACAGATGTCTGAAGCTTCTTCGAATTAACTAGTAAAAGGGAATCTAATTAAGCTAACTCTCATTGTGTTTGAATTTTAAAATTATGCGCAAAATACATGGCCTGATTGGCAGATGATGTTTTGAAATATTATATCTGAATCAATGTGCTAACAAGTGTTTATCTCCTTCGTAAATTAGATCCAGTGAGGAACAAATGCAATAGGTCTTACTGCCTCTGATAACACTAATTTTAAAATAAAATATAAGGTGAAATGTTGTAATTTACTAGCATTGAAAATAACCTTTCCAATAACCGTAAGATTACACTTTGAATGAAATTCACATGCTTTCTTTTGGAACATTGATAAAAAACGCACACGTTTCTTCATAGGAACATTTGTAAGAAAATATAGATAAGTAGATAGATACCTATAGAACAGGAGAGGTCCTATGAGGCATCCCTGAAGTAATCGTTGCTAAAGCACGTTTCCGTTGTGAAGTAGTACCGTCTCCCTCGATATCAAAGTGTGAGGAGATCTAGTTTTGGAACCGTAGTGTTAAATACATTTGCCTTTTTCCGATCTATTAGAAACATGTTCTTAGTATCTGCATCAATAGGAATGTCTTCTTTATTCCTCCTTCTTTTGCGAAATTACATATTTGTAAAACCCCGACCAATTACTTCTCTCCTCGTCCAGAATATGCGTTAAATATGACTAATACACAATTTTCATTTTCCGCCTTAATTCTTTTAAACACATTCGCAAATGTGTCATATGATTTTCACTGCGGTATCTATTCTTGAAGCTCTTTCTTGAAGGTTTTCCATCAGACTAATTTTTACGTTGTAATACTCTAAATTTGAATTATAATATGGGATACGTTTTATATAATTTTCATACAAACCGATTTAATTGTAGTAATAACACCATATCAATTTAAAACAAATACTGTAGGACATCAAGTATAACAATTTCAATGATATAGCATTGTAGCAATGATATAGTATGTCATCTAATGTGTGTGGGTGTGATTTGTATCGCAGGGCGGGCGAGATTATCTCACGGGACGCTATAACAATCGCAGCGTCGACCTGAACCGCAACTTTCCAGACTTGGACCGCATTGTGTTCAGCAACGAGGAGGCTCAGTTGGGCCCGAACGACCATTTGCTGGACCAAGTGGATCGCCTAAATGAACCGGTGAGTGCAATTCTAAGAAGCGCTGACCAATTTTGATAATATTTAGGGAGCTGTGGAACTTGTAACAATGATTTACAAATGCTTTGAAAAATTCCTTCCAGTTGCTTACTACATAAAAATTTTCAAGGTTGGAAACTTTAAAGAACGTTATGAGGTACCATAAAAATACATTTGTGAAGAAGAGTTATTATTACGCGTAAATAAATAAATAATAAAAATAAATTGCACGAGCAATGCGGGATTCGAGTAGATTACATTAAATAGGAACTGTCATGGCCACATTGCATTTTCAAATAATGCCTTTCCAACCACCAATAAAAATCTTTCCATGGCTAAATTCGGATGCTCTAAAGAAAAGAACTTGTATAAAGAACTAAAAACTGCTGCTTAAAGCCCAAGTTCTAATCCTTAAAATGTGCCAGACTCAAAACTTTATCAATATTGGCATAACAATCCTATTCCTTACCACTCTCCCCTTCATACTTGCTATTTTTCTTGCACAGTGGTAACGTGAGATTGAAGCTCAATGCGATTAGTGTTTCCTAAACGTTGCTGTGTTCATAGAAACATGTCTCGAGGAATCCCAGTTCCAATTAGATGTGATGGACCTCATGCTGTCTCTAAGCATGGTACCTTATCTCGCTATGATTGATGATTCTGGTGTTGTTTGGTTACAATTCTACTAGAGCATGGAAAGTGTTTATTTCTCTCGTGCCACGTTTTGCTCAGATATTTACAACATAAAAATATAGACTTGTGAAGCCTAGATATTGTTTCATTTACTTTCGTGTGAAGTTCATAGATATTGGGAATAATCACCATGAAAGGAAGTTATTAATATGCAAATCTATGCACATCGCGAAAGATGACTCAGGGCATCAACTGACTGGGAGGTCATAGGTTCGAGTCCCGACGATGGCAGGATTTTTGGCACTATAGTTATATAGCTAGGTCGAATTCAGCCGCTGTCTGGAGGAGAATTCTAGCGGCAGGCTGTTCTGATCGATAGTTTTCCTTGGTTTCTCCTATAAATATTTACAGAGCAATACCCTAATAAATGGACCATTGACTGCGCACGATCTTTTCTTCCTCTTCCTTGTCGTATCTCCATTCCTAATTTATACACACACGCACTACACTATCACACTGCCGTGAGTGCGGTCTGGAGCTTATATCTTGTCCCGCAGGGGGCTGTGACACGCTGGCGACTGATACCTGGTTGGGGAAAACCCCGGTAGCCGGGTAGCCGACGTTAGGTCGGCGCCGTATCTCTCTCTCCAACGAGGGAATATCACTGCTTGAGGAAAACATGTACTACTCTTACGGGACTAATTTCCTTAGCAGTTTACGTGCCCGAAATCATCAATAAATCAATATTTCTGTTCACAGTAAATCCAAAATTCATCTCAATAGAATCCACAACTAGCTTTTCTTCCTATCTAGTAATTCGTAATAAACACGATTTCATATTACGGTGAAGATGTCGCATTCAGCCAATACTCTCAACAGATAAACGTTGAGGCAAGGGATTCTTGAACGAGACATGACTTAGAGGTTGACTCTATGCAAAATTACTTTTCGTTACATCATGTTGCTTCAGCAGGTCATATGGACTTTCGCTTTTATTTCCATCGACCTCCCCCACAAAACTCCGAACGACGACGTGCAGAAGTGTTTTTCTAACATCCAAGAGCCCTTTATTTAATGCGCTCTTTGGCGTGCGCAGATCCAACCGGAAACGCGCGCGGTCATCCGGCTCATCATGCAAGTGCCGTTCGTGCTGTCGGCCAACCTGCACGGCGGCGATCTGGTCGCCAACTACCCTTACGACTACAGCCGCTCGGGCGCACCGCAGGAGTATTCGCGCTCGCCCGACGACCTGACCTTCCGGTGAGCCGCGCGCCGCGTTTTCTCTCTCTTTTTTTTTCCTTTCTTTTTCTTTATTTTTTCTTTATTTTTTCTTTCGTTTTTCTTTTTTCCTTTTCTTTTCCCCAGGCCAACATAACTGATGTACAGTGGTTGTAGTAACTTGATTGACATATTGTGTATGTGGGGGAAAGGCAAATTTCCCGACAAACGACTAACACAGTTTTATTGATAAGGTGTATCTCCTTTGTATAAGTGTTCCTCTTCGAAGTTCTGTTAGTGATTGTTTTAGTTTTGCGACTATCTGTCTGTCAACATTCTTCTGCACGTTTCTTATATTCCGTTCGTTTAATTTTTTGCTTCTGTGTCCATTTTGTCCATTTTACATTATTACATTTTTCTTTATCTTCATTTTACAGTATTGTGGTCACATTTAAATTAAGAACCTTGCTACGAATATATTTAATTCACAATCCTTAAAAATATTACAGTAATAATATTTGCAATAATATTTTTAATTCAAATATTTGCAACCCGTATATTACTTGCTAGTTTTCATTTCATGATCCTATGAACATATATGCGTGCGGACTTCAGTCAATTTGGGAATGCAGTGATTGCAGAAGGTCATGCATTTGAATGAGAGCGTCTTTTAATGGTTTCCATTGTGTATGGTTTACAAACTTTCTGTGTGATCAACGGACAGATTTGTAGTTTTTCGAAACTTAAAAAAATTAAGAAACTTCTCTTATCACCAACAAAGGTAGAGAGAAGTGAATGTCAGAATAGATACAACAGGCTTTGAGAAGAAACATACCTGGGATGGTTCCATGTTTTCAAACAGCCACGAAAGTTAGATTATGCAATGTGCTTTATGAACTTCGTTGTGTAAGACCATACACTTTTACTGAGCCTTACCATCCATGTATGTAACTATACAACAAAAGCAAAATTATACAACTTTCATTTTTGTGAAAGAAACACTATTGTAGAAATGACACAACTATTATGAAAGTTGGAAGAAATGTGTTATATTTCATTAAGAAGGGTAATTGCAAAATATTATTTCTGTTGCAGAAGAATGCGAACATTAAAGGAACATATTCAATTGGTATATATTGGACTTTAATGAAGCTATAGTGTACAAAATTAAGTTCATAAATTACTACTTTTTGATCAAGAGAAATTAGATTAACCAGTTTTAAAGAAACGTCCCAAGTGGCACAGACGGCTATGGTTACGTCATTTGCTTTAGTCACGTAACTGATAGCTCGTCGAGTACACTGCAAAAACTTTTTAAAATGTTTTACGTAACTTTCTGAATAGAAAAAAGTAGTGTACATTTCATAAGGGTCTGGAAAGGACGTAAAAATATTTTAATCAGAAACTGTCGTAAATAATTTTGCAACGTCCTGACACCGAAATATAGAACAGAAACCGTTGCTATAAGAGGAATCATTTAAGGGTTTAATTAATTAATTTAAAAACTTAATTTCACCGAATTCCTTGTCCAATCTCGACAATTACATAAAAAAGCGTCGTGTTTACCTTCTTCGTTATGCCTAGGGTGTAGTGATTTCATGAAAATCATACCGCAACTTCGCCAATATTCGTATTTCACAAAATTTGAGTTTATTCTCTAAATCAATTTCATAAATTGAGTGAAACCATATGTCATAAATATTTAGAAATTGTTCGAATGACGGATATTTGTAATGGATACGCACTTTGGCTATCCAGGAGACGCATCGTCGTTGGCTGAGAGGCCGTCGTTTCGCCTGACATGTCGCAGGCTTCCTCAGGGCACTGACCGCCCTGGGGAAGCCTGCAACATGTCAGCCGAAACTTCGCTACCCTGAGGAAGCCTGCGACATGTCAGCCGAAACGTCGCTCTCTCAACCAACGACGCGGCGTCTCCCGGATATCCAATAATTTATGGAATCGAGCCGCGGAAGCTTACGTGTGGATTCGCACATGTTTGTAAACATTACTTTAGACAAATCTTTCAAAGTTCTTTATTTTTTCGAAAAAAGTAAAAAGGAATCTTAAACCAAAAAAAACGATACTTTATTCTGGTGTTAAAATTCCGAATAGGATCTCGATTAGGATGGTTTTCTGCCTAAGTTACCCAAGCTTCATTTGTTACGTACAAGTCAATGCAATCACGCTCGCCAGTGACTAAGAGAAACCTTTTTATCCTGTTTAGAATTTTAAGTACTGTTAAAAGAAAATAACCATTTCCTTTTTATTCTTGTACAGAAGCGTAACTTGGTGTTATTAAAAAAATCTCCCTAGGCATTTGGCGCACGCGTACGCTGACAAGCACGCCACAATGGCGAAGGCTAATCGGCGAGGTTGCGGCCGCGACGGCTACAACTTCGGCAAGCAGGGAGGCATCACAAACGGCGCTGCTTGGTACAGCGTCCAAGGCGGTAAGCTAATATTCATTTAATAAATATGAAACATAACCTTGCCATCCATAAACGTCGTTTGTTTGTTAGTAATCGGAAAACAAATCTCACCAAAACAATCAACACTTTGTTTAATGTTCTCACCCACACGCAATCAATAACACTAAATAGTAGGTAAAAGCGTGTTTGCTCGTAACTTAAAAGAACGGGGTTAAGCAGGGCCAACATGAGTATAACAAATGAATTTTATATTAACTTAAAAACAAATGCAAAAAATGTTTCTCATAAAGATGTTCACCAATAAGTTTGGTTACACGATTAATTATTCATATTACAGCGTTTCGGCGTACTTTTTAACATTTATCAGATGGTAAAGGAAAAGGAATATCTTACATTTAAAATAAAATCCAAAATACTACTGACAATTGCAATAATCGTTACACAAATATACACAAAACATAGTTACATATTATTCCGCTAGTGAAATCAGTCATACAATATTTGAAACAGGAATATGAAACAGCCACAAATACTGTCGTGTTTGAATGCAAAATGTAAAAAAAAAACAATTAAGCTTTACCCATTCTTTTAAATCCAATGTTATTGTTAATCCCCATATTCAATTGTTATTCCCATGTTATGTCTTCTTAATCTTAGGGCCATTAATAATGAATTACATTAACATTTTGCAAACGTTTATCGTAAAAATTAAAATAACAAGATATGTTTTTAAATGTTGATTAAATTTTCGAGAAATTGTTTAGATCTCTTGAACAATACAGCTTACTTTCGATACGGTATGTTGGTAACTAACAAAATGTGCTCCTTCCTCTGAGTGAGCCAAATACGATATGACATGCATTGAATATAACGCGCGGCGCGAACAGAATAAAATTAAATATTACTTCAGAGCTAAATAAATTACATTCATTCTAAAAGATTTCTTACTATTTATCCTTGAGGGATTGTCTATTTTCTTTATCAGAGACGATACTACAAAATGCATTTTAGTCATTAACGAAACGAGTGTATAATTGCATGAATGGTATGTTCAATAAAACGAGCGACGATAGGAGCGAGATTTCTTATTTACCATGAGTGCAATTATACCCCTTTATGCACGTGTTACGTTCAATATTTTTTCGTTTCCATTAAAGAATAATTTTAATTTTGAAAAATTTAATCATATCTTTACCATTAGAGGTAGGTATCTGATGACGTCTTATTGGTTTTGAACAAGACCTATTTTAGTAGGCCTTGAAGTACATATTTATAATCACCTTAGTGCCTTAGAAAACAGTGTATGAAATTAAAAATTTTAAAAATGTTTGAAAATGGAAAATATTTAACGTATTCCGGTTGAAATATTAGAAGAAGCTGACAAAGCCATGAAAACATTACTTCGTACGAAAAGTAAGGGCATATATGAGAGGACAACACTCTGTTAATGTTGGAAAAGAGAAAGACGATTCAGTTCTGACTCAGACATTTTGCTGGTGTACTTTCCAGAGCGGGAAATACAACAGACGATTACATTTTTTATAATTGTAATATGCTAAAACCAAATTATTTACATGTAACACATTCATTCATATTAAATATTTTATGTTGTTGCATTGGTCATCTAGTGTCAAATCAACGTGCTTATGGTCAGACTTGTTTATTTTAAAGACCTGGCATATAAAGGAGAATAAAGATATTTTAAACTATAAACAATTGACTTGATTTTTCCAAACAAATTAAGGAGTTTTGCCAAAATAACTGTTCTCTTTGGGCCGTTACATTCAAATAGGTGAAGTAAACATATCTGCAAAATAAAGCGACTTCTGGGTTAGAATGATTGATGCCAAGTATAAGTAGGGTAATAGTTTTTAATTTAACTTATTATACTACAAATATTAACATGATTGTCTAAGAAGTAGTAATAACTATTCGTTTATAATTTTGTGTCGTACGTTCATTGATTATATGTTTTTGATGTATGTAATATGTGATGTACATTTTTGTTCATATTTCATGGCCGACTGGAACCGTTTTTATTATAGATACATAATTAAACGATTTCCTTCAATTCTCTGAGTTCTGATTGGCTGTTGTAGAATTTTAATTGCACGATTAAGTTTTAATTGTACGCATGTCATAAACACAGTGATAATCAATGATTTTTCATGGAATTAATGAGCGTATTTAGTTAACTCAACGAAAAATATATTTACTTCGAAATTTAAGTATCTAAACTGTTGTGACATTTTTTATATTTTTAAATACAGAAAATTTCAAAAGAAACATTGTTACGAATTGCTAATATTTTTAATTAAATTTTTAATTTTCTCCTTTTCAGTGGTTGTTCTCGAGCATTTATTTTTTGACAATTTTGCGTCTAATGTGTGTGCATGTGTAAAAGACAGCGTTGAAATTGTGGTGTCTCACAGTTAACCTCAGTTCCTTTTCACTACTCTCTCGTTATAAACTCTAAAGGGGTATCAAGCGTCGTGCTCAAAGCTCATGGGGTGTGGATTTCTATGCTTTTCCCCCTTTCGTGCTACCTTACTGATTCTATTTTCAGAAACTTGTAGTGTTCTTCAGGAGCTGACAGGTGTAAAGGATCATTCGAAACTTGCAATGGAATGCAATGGTATTCGGTAGCAATGATATTCGTTAGCGTGAAATCTGAACTGAGGTGTTAATTTACTCCACATTGATTTTCCTCTTTAGAAGTATTGTGTTATGCGTTTTTTCATATGGTCACAGATATATAAATAGTTTTCACTTATGAATGGCATGTACTATCGTGTCAGAGGATAACTGTAGAACTCACATTTCTTGGTGAATAGTATTGCTGATATTTCTTCTTAACCATCAGGTATGCAAGATTTTAACTACCTCTCATCCAATGACTTCGAGATCACGCTGGAACTGAGCTGTGACAAATATCCTCCAGCCTCACAATTGAAACAGGAGTGGGAGAACAATAAAGATGCACTTCTACACTTCATGTGGCAGGTGAGGTTCAGTTTCAATTATATTAAGATAAATCATGACCGACATCTAACAATTGCATATTCCAAACCATCAGTGACCGAGGTTCAACTTAAAATAATGTCAGTTTCAATCCCTTCCAGCTTTTCAATCAGACTCTTTTGAGCCAAATCAAATAGTACGAGTACGTAGGGTCGGACATAAAAATTACCAGAACTAAGAGAAAGACAAATATTTTCAAGAATAAATTGGGTTCCCTTCTTTTTTTAAAGCACAGGAACGTCACAAATCGGTAATATATTATTCTAATTATGAAAGTGTTTTGCTTATTTATCGGCAAAAGAATCTGTTCTAAAATATGAGTGAAATATGTTATAAGAGAAAACTCTCACTTACTCGCGGGTGTGGGGTACACTGCACTAGCAAAAGGCTAAACGCAAAACAAAGTATGGGTCCATAAATCCATGTGCACAACTTCCAAGTTACAGAATTTACAGTACACCCATTACAGTAGGTTTGTTGCTCAGTGTTATACTATAAGAAATAATAGCCAAAATTTCACCTTTCGTATACGATACAATTACTCCATTTTTTAACTTGTCTAGGGATAGCGACGTCGTAGGAATATTCCATTATGTATATCGGAGATGTGGCACTGGGTGATGAAAATTCCTTGTAAGGCGTCTACCATTAGAGGACGACAGTCACTTGGTTCTAAATTGTAATTGTTCATTTACAATCTTACGTATGTTTAAAATGTAAAATTGCATTGCATCAAATACAACGACCATTTATATCGTCCCGTAATAGTTTGAAGGAAAAAAACACCTCTTGAAATTTACTGTTTAAAGAAAAGAGAATTCCAAAAAATTCGTGAAGAAAAATATGTCAACAAATACAATTTTAATGTTTCTGCTAATACCAACTTTTCTAAAATATTTTGTACTTGAACGACATTGAGGTCGCATAACTACATAGTTTCTATTAGTTTAAAGACACTTTCTCGGTCGCCATATCCTGAGAGTAATTTCTTCACTTCCTTCTCGTTTACAACTCGTAAGAAAAAGTTTGTCACTGGTTGAAGAATCAAGTACTAATTTAGTGAGATACTACTAAGATTACAGAAATTACAGATGTTTTCATACGATTGTTAAGAGAATTATTCAAGCATATTATCATGACTGTCCCTTTCATCGTGTTACTAATAGATTAATTTCTTTTCGATTGAACTAAAAGTGATAAAAGTCAATGAAGAACCTCAATGTCTGGATTGTTTTGACATTTTCTTCTGAAAAAAAAAACCATTAATAAAATACTCCATTCTATGAAATCTTTCTTGACTACCGGTTTTCAGCACCTCTATTTGACAACTTTTATTGCTTTGCATTTTTTCTATGTTGCCATCCTAGACCTTTCTAATATCTTTCCGTCTTTGCTTTTAATCTTTGAGAAGTGAGTTAATACATAGCAAGGAATAGGCTTTCATGAAATATTTCTTTGAGAAAACAGCTTTTATTTGAATAATCGGGATCCAAAAATGAAACACTTTCTTTACTGTTTATGAACATGTTTTTAAATATTTATGTGTACATCAATAAACTCTTCAAGTTGATCTAGAATTCAACATAAATATTCTGTTACGGAACCTTACTAATATAAACATTCGACTCTGATCTTCTGAGTAAATTGGTATTCTATGATTTTTTTCAATTGATAACGGATCTTCCTTTCTGTATTAAAAATAAATTGATACGTGTAAATAGTTATTTCAAAGACGCCTGAAAATTATACATTTACGTTCTATTGCCCCTATACTTTTGTGACCCCACTTAATTTACTACATTCGAATAATCCATGAATCAAGGCATGGAATGAGTACATGGAAAGACAACCGCATCATATAGCAACGATTGGGACTTCCATTCAAGGATGGCGTTATATCCTGGCCAGCTGAGCGTAATTATGTTCCACACCTGTCCGCATTCGTTGGCCCGGCGGGCTGGTAATTACAAACTCTTTGGCGTCCACAGGTGCACATCGGCATCAAGGGCCGCGTGACGGACGCGGAGACCGGCCAGCCACTGCCCAACACGGCCATCCACGTGCGCAACGTCACCGCTGGCCGCGACTCCGCCATCAACCACGACGTGCGCTCCGGTGAGTCTTCTCTCGCCGGGGGTCAACCACCGCTCGCCGTTTCGCACCGCGCCCCGCCGTTCAAGGGGCTCCGCACGTCGCAGCAGTTGTTCTCCCTCGACTGGTACTTCGGCGGAAACACGGTGGCCAATGTCAATAAACGATTTACACGCTTGCGAAAGTCACTTTTCAATCGGACAGGACTGCGTTACGCAATTCCTAGGTCGTTTTTCGGGAGAAGTTTCGCTTACGAGGAACAAATTGGTAAAAGTTTTTTGTTTTTCTTTATTTTTACCACGTTTCAATTTTTGCATTCTCAAATTGTTTTGTTTGCTTGTTCTAATTTTGTGTCCAGACATTTTATCAAAATTATATCCTGAAGATTTGAATTGATTGATTCAATTCGGTGTGTCCAAAGTACTTGGCTGTGTTCCCCTAAAGTTCCAAATAATCAATTGTTTTGCACTTAATAAATATTTTTCATTTATCGCTGGATGAACAAGTTAAGCAGTTTTTCTCAATTAGTATGACCCTAAATAACAATAGGTAAAATATTGAAATATTATTTTTTATTTATGCCATAATGTTCCCAACACTTTCATAAATGTACGATCAACTCCTTGACCTTAATTCTTAATTACAGGCCATGGTTGTCTCCATTCTCTTCCTCTAATTCTCTCTTATTCATTAAAATTCTTATTTATTTAAAAACGACCATTTCAGTAAATCATGTTTGTAATGAATAAATGTGTAATAAAAACATATTTAAGACAATTTGAGTGACAATTTTTATAATATTTTAATTGAACAAACAATTCTATCATACCTAATTAGAATATTACATTCTGACTGGTTATATTCGTTATGGAAGTATAAGAGAGTTGTCTGTAAAAGTTCATATCGATTCTCGAAAATGCTGCTGACTTTGACTCCTTCCTGAATATGTTAATGAAATAATTGCAATGATTAAAAAGTTATTTCTACACTTAAACACTATCACACGATTCATATACATAATTCGCATTTTGGTCCTCCTGAATGTTTCGAGCTGATTGACGTTGGTTTCCCCCAACCCAAACCCTCTGACCTGTTGTCCCGGGCGCAGGGAGGAGGTCAGTCGCTTGCGAGAAGCTGAGCGTAACGCTTCCATTCGTTTGCTGTGCAGTGCACGGCGGCGACTACTGGCGTCTACTGACCCCTGGGGAGTACGTGGTGACGGCTTTGCACGAGGGCTACGAGCCTGAGAGTCGCCGGGTGATCATCACCAACGAGCCGGAGCACGCGGAAGCCCCTCGCCTTGACTTCCGCTTGCGCCCTCTTCGCTCAGACCCCTTTGTGAGTACAGTACATTTCCATCACCGCCCTCGCCATCGCCATCGAGTCATTTTCACGATTGTGTCCACTGCTTCTCAGGCTTCATGTAAGACCTGAAAGAGGGCCTTCCCGAATAACTCAAGATATGTTCAGGACCCCTTACACGAAATGAGATGTTTAATTCAAAGGTTGATATTTTCATTTAATAACTTTCCTCTTGGTGGCTTGCGAGTCACAATAAGTAATTATGAAGTTTTGCGGAGTTAATGAGTGTTTTTTTTATTTTATTTTATGAAAAGGTTTCTTTAAAGACATCTCAGAAGACTAAATAAATTATTTCTTCAAATCTAACAGGAAATATTTTCAATTGAGATAATTTTAAACTCTGCTTAGCTGATAATATTTGGTAGTCTTCCTTAGCTTTCTGTGCGTTTAATTAGTAGTATAATAGTTTTTGTTAGTGTCTCCAAGAATGCCATTCAGATTTTACATATAGTTTCAGTCTGGATACTAATTTTCATCTCTCATTATCGACCCAAATTCACAGAATCTAGAACTTCCGTCCTCAAAACTAACGTTTTGTTTCTTCTGTTGATAGGAGGGTCTTGACGGCGACACTGACATCAATGAGTTACCGGAAGTGCCGACCAATCGAGAGTACGCCGAGGTCATGCAAGGTCGTTTAAAGCGACGCTGGCCCTTCCTTCTCCCCAGAGCAATTGGCGGTTTCTGAATGACATCTCCCCGCGCCATTTATTTCTCCCTGGAGACGCCTCCTTCTGTACAAATATCGCACCTTCCCTCGCGATTCTTCGGCTCTCAAGGATTAAGCGAAGTAACTTTAGTATAACCCACCAGGTCATATGTTGCCGTCTATTCCCGGTGGCCTACTCTTCTCGTCTTCACAGTAACATAAGTTTGTAAGACACTGTCATCGTGTTGGATTCACGATACATTAAAAACTAGATGCGTTCTTCCGTAAAAACTAGATGCGAAAGAGGTGTCAAATTGTGAGAAGCAGCGAGCTTGACTTAAAACTCGACTAGATGTATTATCCTACGACAGTTGAATTTACTGGATTGGACATGAATATACTATTTGTAAGTATTTTCTTAAATAAAAGCCATCTTCGTTTTTAATGAAAGTTATCACTATAAATGTTACTATAATAACAAATTGTATCAAATACAAATAGTATTCACATTTCAATGCATTAAAATTTGGAAACTATTGTATAGGAAGAGAAAAGTTAATTTATAATTAATATTTTAATACCATTTGGGCCTAAAAGATGATGATCTTAAGGAAAATATATTTGACATTTTTCTGAAACCATGCTACATACTATATCAGAATGGTGCTACAACATGACGTGTCAGGAGTTAAAGGGTAAAAACTGTTGGGATACAAGCCTGAATTCTCAGCTTTAAAAGTAAAAGTTTTTTGAAAAATTTTTATTTATTACATTCACAAGGTAATAGTTTGTTTTTTGAAAAAAATTACGCTAATTCATATTTAACTTTTTGTTATGAAACTGAGAATCAACAGGTTAATTTATAGAAAATAGATTTGTGAATGTTATGGCAGCTGAATGTCCTGCAGAAAAATCAAATGTATTACAGTTTGGAAAAATAATTAGTGAATGATAATCAAAATCACTAAAATTGTATGAGTTGATATAATAACTAATGTAGTTGTGTTCTTGTCAATTCTTTTGAACTAAATATTGATGAATAAGAATACTGTCATATACCATGACAAGTTAATATAAAAACACTTTATATATTCAAATATCATATACCCCAGGGAAAGGAATTGTTATTATTATTTATATTCATAAATTTAAAACATTCCTGCAATAATATATGTAATTCTTCTGAATGCCTGCTCATGGAAAAGTTTGGCTTTGTAGAATTTTCTGTCATCAAAGTATATATTTCTTAAATTTATGAATACAGAAATGAATGAATTCATAGGATGTTTTGAAGAATTGATATTGTTATTGACAATTTTTTAAATGTTTTGTATGAAAGAGAAAACACACAAGAATGAATCAAGAATATTATTTGAATTTGTGTTGTAAGTGAGAGATTCACTTTTCTAATATTATTTAATTGTTAATGTCAACATTATATTTTGGTGTGTGAAGATGTGAAAGGTAGGCCAGACAATTTAGGTAAATCTAAACCATTGAGCCTGTGGCCATTTGGTATAATTTTTGAAGAACAGAGTACAATTTACCTCTCAAACTAGTATGTGAAGATTGACACAAATATCTATATTTGTTAAAAACTAGTGTTTATCAGTTTGTTAATCTCAGAAATATAATTAAATAATTTATAATTGCAAATATTATTTCTAAGTATATTATATTCACACACACGCACACACACACACCTATACATATATATGCATTTGCATCTTAAGATGAATCAGTCATCGATGAAAAAATAATTCAAAACGTGAAAACTAGGAAATTGAAGATATTGTGCAGTGATGAAGTTCCTTACATCGATATTATATTTTTCCACTTTCCTTCTTTGCCCAGCATCTTCTAAGGCAGAGTTATTCAAGTGGGCAGCCCACTTGGTAGACTGTGGGTCAGAGTTTATCTGCAGGCATCCAATGTGACCCGCTATACTCCGATTTAAGAGTCCCTTCAAGGTCACGATCTGGATTGACCTCTCCTTTCAGCTCATGACCTTCAAGGGACACTAAATGTAAATCAGAGTATAGCCCAGGGTTGGGTAGGGGAGGGGAGTCACTGCTTGCATTGCTGAAAGACGGGTAAAGAGGGCGGGTAAGTGGTATGCAGGCCACTGCAGTGACTCTCTTTGCTACTCTCAGGCAGAATGGCCTGAAATTTTGCCCTTGTGCAGTCCTGCTCACTAGTAAGCCATTTTCTTCAGATGTCTTAGATATTCTTTATAATTTCATTAAATGTTGAGATGAAAAATTACATCAGGTTGCGTTTGTTTGGTATATACTTACTTACATATTTACTTGGTTTATAGGTATGTTCTGTATTTTCTGCTCATTCAATTCATTTTTTTTAAATTATTATGGGAGCACTTTGAATTTCTGTACTATGAAGAACAATAATACCAGAAATTTACAATGCAACTAACGGGATTAATTTAATATTCATTTACATATCAGAATGAAATTTACATTCAATCTATTTTTGTTCATTCTACCATTTAATATGCTATTTAAATTTGGAAGTGGATAGTAGTCTTCAGAACATCTTTTTGCATATCACTGTTAAGATCACATTTACCACACACCAGGAGCAGTTTTTCAGGTAAGAATTTTCAAAAGAGTGGGGAATGAGAACAGGCAGTGAGAATAGGGAATGAGGGTGAGCAATGTGGATGGGAAATGAGGATTCTTTATTTATTTTAATTATTTTATATTAATATTTTAGCTATGATGCTAATGTTACTCATTTATTTAAAACAACACTTATCTTTGTCTTTAAAAGAAGCTAATGAAAAAAGTTATCATGCAACTTGTGCTTCATAAAATCATTAGTGAACTAATTTTATAATAAAGTTTCTTTTAGCATCCGTTCATTTTTTTCCTAGGTATTTGAAAATGATCGCATCTTGGTAGACAGAATCAAAAATAAAATCGATTTTGGCTAAACCTCAGTTGTCTGTTTACTACTGTAATACTGAGAATATTACTTTGCAATTTATGATCTGTTTGGGCTATTATGTTGTGTGAGAGATATTTAAAACCTACCAGTTTTTAAAATCGTTAAAAAAATGTTCAGAAATGGATATAGGAAAGTAGAATTTATGAATAATTAATTTAAAATCATATTTTCATTCTTGGACTGTACACTTTATTACTGTAAATGGTATGTGATATCTGTACAAAATGGATAACTATATATAAAAAATGATGATGCTATGTTACAAATATTAACATTACATCCTACATTGGATATTGTACAGAATAACTCCTATGTGAGACAATTCTATTCGGAATGAGCCTTCAGGCAATGAAACCTGTGATTGGCATAAAATAGTTGCTCTACTTGAAATGCCTTGGAATGGAGTATTCTGTGCTTTCTTAAAAATATTCTTAAAGTAAATCAATTCCACTATGTTTTCTAAATTTTCTCAAAAGGTAGTGGAACTGATATACTTTAAAATAAATGTTAACCCAAGAGAACATATTTTGCAGTATACATTAAATGCACACACAAGACTAATTCTAAATTGTAAAAATTAACCTCAAAAGAGAATCACATCATCTGTGACCATAATAAAAATAACTTTAATATTCAATATATTTGGTATGTGCCATGAAAGACTTCCTCAATAAACATATGATTGTTCCATGTTTTGTTTAGAAATGTTTCTAATAGAATGCTAGTGAATTGTAAAACTTTTTCATTGTGCTACATAATACATAATTATTCATTAAAAGTATACACTATACACAAATATCCTGTTGCAGCAAAACATACAATGTAAATTATTTTGCAACTTGCAAATAATATTGTTATAAATGAACTGTTTAACAGCTATGGTGAATGGTGTGATTCTCACATTGTACCAGAACAGTAACAATCAAGCACAAGACATAAAACTTACTTAATAATTGATACTGGCACTTAGTCAGTGGATCTCAAGTGAGTTATAAGATGACACACATATGGTTAAATGTTGTGATGTTATCTTCTAGTATATGCTACATCATGAAACTTGAGAAAGGAGTTTGATTTTTTCATTCAATTAAGGAACCAAGAAAAACACCTATGATGAAATAATGGAACACTTATTGAAACACATCTGAGGAAACCACTGATAACATTTATGTCATTTATTATATTCATAAACATATCCATTGACATTTAAACTAGTGGTTGTGCTTGTTGTAATTATGTTCAGCAATGCCTGTGCTCGAGTCATTTGACTATCAAAACAGGCCATCACTGTGACTAGATGGGACAGACCCGACCTTCATGAGAGGACTGAAGAAAGGTCCGAGTCGTGCACACTGGTTCTCATGGGTTTCTACATTTGGCACATTGTCCTTAGATGATAAAACAAAGTAGCATAACATCTAAATAATACAAACTGTGTGTCTGCGGTAGATGTTTGCAATTTTTGGGTTCATCCCAATTGTTCTTTACACCCACTAAGCATAATTCCTTTGAAGGTGAGTCTATATGAAGTAGGTCTTCATGACCATTCAAACTCCTTCATTGGCAGTCACTCCTTTGTACAACACTTCAACAACACAGCCCTTTTATTCACTTTCAGTATATTCAAAGATGTTCCCAGAAAATTATGATTTCAGCATCAATCCTGGTTGTAACAATATAAACAATATACTTCATTTCTGTTCATTCAATGTTGAGATTCATCTCAGTGACCATCTAAATACACTAATTGTTTAAGTTCTGGTAGTACAGTACAGGGTCAAAGTTGTGCACTTGGACATTACACAAACACTGTGCATCAATAGAAATAGCGTTTGGAGAGAATCACAACACAAGAAACAGAAGGATCCTTCCCACTGGTTAAGCACCACGTTCTGTGGATTCAGACATGTGGGAGATTCACAGCTGTCCATGTTTCCTTTCAGTTCTCCGCATCCTATGTCCATGCTTCTACACCATAGTAACATTTCTTTTCTTCCGATCACCACTGCTCACAGAACTCAAGGATCCTTGCAGGCTCGGATTGAAAGGAACTAAAGAGCCATTTCTATGGTAGTTACCATTAGTTAGAGCTCCAGGATGCACGCCGTAGATGGGGCCAGAGGAGGAATAGATACCATTGTTGTGATTGGAGTTAAATGTGGGGAGAGGTGGGACAGGGGGTGGGAGTTGGGCATGGCTGCCACCAGCAACAATACCCTCATCAGCCATGCCTCCATAGGGGCTGTGCCTGCGTTCGTGTTCATGCAGGAGTTGAGATGCAGTCCAGGATTGGTAAGGACTAAGAGTCCGACCACGCACCAGTGTGTTGCTGCCTCCACTAGAAATGGTGCTAATGTTATTAGGACTTGGTAGTGCGACTATATTGGGTGACATATCTATTTGAGGCTGAGGTTGTTGCTGAGGGGTTTGCTGTTGCTGCTGTTGCTGTTGCTGTTGTATCATTTGCTCGTGTTGTTGCTGAAGCAGTTGCTCCTCTTGTTGCAACTGTGCCACACTAAATCTCTTTTTCTCATCTTGGTCATGTTCAAATTGTGGAGACATATTGACGGTGGTTGTTTCTGCTGGTTGTTGTGACAATGAAGTATTACTGTTGCTATTTGGAATAGCAGATGGCATGATAGTTACAGCAGTACCTGAAGGAGTTACTTGCTGTTTTCCATTTGCAGCATGTTTATCTTTGGAATTGGATTTTTTGTCCGAGTTTCCATGTCTTCTGCGCAGGACACACACATAGCAGTAAACAGCAATACACACTGCCAATAGAGCAATTCCTCCAACAATAGGAAGTATGAGCTCCAAGGTAAAAGGTGATCCTTGAGCAATACGAGGTACAACAGCAGCATCGTCATCTCCATCGTAAGACCAAGATGATAAATCTGGAGTGTAATTAGGAGAAGTGGAAGGAGGAGGGGGAGGTGGTGGGGGACTTGGAACAAGAACTCGCACCCAGTTAGAGATGGGACCTCCAGAAGCATCATCGTTCTTATCAGCAAAGGCTCTCAAACGAAAGTAGAGAGGTTGATCCAGGAGAGAGGGATTCTTTGTAAATTCCAAGTTGAACATTGTGTCTGACCCAGCTGCCAGAGAGAAAGGGCTACCATACTCCCATATTCTTCCCATAGTTTCAAAACGATCAATGATGTCAGCAGCACTGTATGCATAGCGAAGTTCATAGCGTTGGACATTAACTCCTCCCATATCTGGAGCAGTCCAGTGCAGGCGTGCCTTGAGTTCACTGGGAATCACACGAGCTCGGAGGTCGCCAATTCTTCCCAAGATGGGTTGTGACATTACATCCTCGGCTTTAAAGATGATTGAGATTGGTGGTAAAACTCTCTGGAATGGTTGCAGGGGCTGGGCAGCAGCAGGAGGAACAGCACTTCCACAACAAACAGGACCTGTAAGGAGAAAATCATAAGTTGTAAATGGTAAGAAATCATTGTTTTTTTCACCCAAAATTATTTTATTATATTTTTACATATTTTAGAACAGATGTGAGCAGAATACTTTTTTGTTAAACTTCTAGGTAGTATTACCATTTATAATCATGTGTAAAATAGTTTAATCTCAGAAAAAAACATTTCTGAAAAGTACTTACCAGAGTCACCATTTGGTGGGATCAGATTATCTTGCCACGAATATGCTGTGTTGCCATTATCTGTGACTATTATTTCAAATGTATACAAGCCAGTAGCACTTCCTGCAGCACTGAAGTATCTTGAATATATTCCATCACCTTTAGTTACATCCGGATCTGGAATGAAAGAAATAAATTTTTATATTCCTTTCAAAATGAGGAAACAATTAATTGGATGATATAATCAATGTGATATTGGGAATTCTAGCTCACCTCCACTTCCAGTATCCAACATTTCAAACTTTTCTCGGAAGAATTGGGTGCCATTTCGTCCAGGTCTGGTCACTATCACTTCAACTTTAGCTCCCATAACAGGATAATCACCTTTCTTAACCTAGAACAAAATAAATGTAAATAGTTATTTTCTTGTTGTAATAATCTATATTGATTTGGGCAATTATTTTGAAAGGGAAAAAGTTTTGTTTATTGCATGGAAACATACCTCAGCATAAAGCACCAAAGGCGATAAGTTCTTACTGGTCCAAGCACGAGCTCGAACCACAGGAGCTGTAGATGTGCGAGGTGTGGCCATCACTTGTACATAATGTGGTTGTGGGTTTCCTGAGTACCTCTCAATATAGTATGTCCATGTGCCAGTCTGAAAAGAAGAAATAAAAATAGAGTTTATGTTTAAAAGATGAATGTATGATGTATGAAAGTAAGCTCAGTAATGAACTGAAAATTAATTTCAACTTACTTCATTAATGGTCGCTTGAAGGGTAAGCATTTTCACCAGAGCCAGACTATCAGATCGTGTAGAATATGTAAATTGAGAGGGGCTCACTAATGAAATGCTTCGAATGAGAGGGTTATCAGTGCTATGAGTGAAGATTGCAAATCGTGCTGGTTCTCCGAGAGATTCATCCAGAACAAAACTTCCTGTTACACTACTGCGGTTTTCATCAGTCAGTTCTCGCCGATGAATCTAAAAAGAACGATGAAACAATTAATTTTCTGTTTCTACAGTTATATAATTTAAGAATTGAGAAATGGTCTTATTTTTACTGAAAGATGGATGCAGAAAAATGTTAAAATTGAGTTGACATAATTCTTCAGTGTAGAAAAAAGAGAAAATGTAACAAAGGATTTTACAATAAAAATTGTTTATATTATTTTTAAAAGTTATTTACATTGCATAGGGAGTCTGTCACTGACTGAAAAAAAAGTACATACCTCCACAGGCATGCCGTTTGGTCTTCCTTCATAAAAGCGCGTTGCAATACTGAACATGACATTAGCCAGCTTGAAGTAAGTGGAAACAAAAGATATGGCCATATTGTATCGCTCTTCCATGACAGTGTAAGCTACTCCACCAGTAGCATGGGCTAATGAGTCTAGTGAAGAAGGTCGTTGGATGTGGGGATAGTTGATGGTGGCAATCTTGACTCCAAAGCTGATCGCTCGAGGCAGTAAAGCGTTTACTTCCTTCACATGGTCCATTCCAGGAGCAATGACAACAATCACAGAACTCGCTGGGCCATGTGTTGTCGTTCGTTCTTTCAGCATCTAATGGCAGAAAATATCAAATAAGTGCAACAGCTCTATAGAAGAAAGATAATCTTAACATTATTTAATTCAAGGAATAATAAGAAAATTGTTTTGTTTTTTTTTGAAATATTAATGAATAATCTTTCATGTTTGAATGGGAAAACATTGAAATAATAAGGAAAGGCAAAATTAGGGAGAGACAACTAATATCTGAAGCATTAACAATGAAGCTTAGGCGTGTGCAGTGTAAAACAAGAGAAGGATCAACTGTATTTCTGGAGCCTCTTATCCAATTTTCAGTCAATGTTTTAATGGGTGTTAATGTAATTAATTTTTGGGTGTTAGTAGGAGGGATTGAGTTGGACTTGGCTGCATTTTCTCAAGGTAATTTCATACATTGTTGGACATTTTTAGCTTTTTTGACCGCTTTTGGATTTTTGGCGAATTTGGAGGAGTTACTAGGAGAATCAACCCTAAATTAATCACATTCCAAAGGTAGATTCTAAAGTTTCATTATTTGATCCCGAATTAATCTATTACATTAATGTTAAGTTTATAGTACAATTTCCATTTTTTCCCCACAGTTTATAGAAAGTTTAAGAATTTTGTCTCATATTTCATACCAAGTTTTTATGCAATACATTTAATATGATTTCACAGAGTTTGTGAAGTGACATGACATAATGACTAAAGCACAACTAAGACTTGTACAACTAAGTAAAATGTCCAAGTTTCCCCCAATTTTTTATCCACAGTTAATAAGTATAGATTCAGTAACATAAACCACGTTATGCATCCATTTGGTTGTTATCACTAATTTTTTTAAATGTATCCAATGATCCATATGTAATTTCTATCAGGGATTTCACACATTTACAGAAATTATTTTATTTCGGGCCTCCTTTCAAAATTTGCAGGAGGCATTGTGCCCCCTCCACCCAAGAGCAAGCTTATGCTACAAAGAAATCGGTTACTTTGTTGAGTCCTATTTTGGGCATGGGTCCTTACATCTGCCATAAAGGATTTTCCAGGTCCTAGTCTGAAAGCGTTATATTAATTCTTTACGTAACGAGATGTGTCTAATGTTTCAACAATTTTAATCAATAATGCCAAGAAGAACTATGTGTTTGGAAGAGGGAGTCTTAATTAGTTTATTTACTTGTCTACAACAGGGAAATATTCCTGTTGCAATAGATTTTATAGAAAAACAGCACAGGTAACTAGAGGTGGGAAAGTCGCAGAGGCATCGCATGCGACCGCACTCACATCGAGGGCCTCGCGGATGCCGCAGTGCAGGCAGGCGGGCGCGTGCGAGTCGACGGGCGTGTAGGGGATGTTGGCCGCGACGAGGTCGCGCGCCGCGGGGCTGATGAGCGGCGACAGCTGGTGCAGGCGGTTGGGCGACGTCTCGTTGCTGAGCACCAGCCCCACCTCGCTGCTGGACGGCAGGTCGTACACGGCCCACTTGCGCACGGCGAAGCGCAGGTAGCTCCACGACTCGCGCACCAGCATGCCCATCGTCTCCTCGATCACCAGCACGTAGCGCGTGTGCGAGCGCCGCTTGTACTGCACCGACGGCGTCGTGTTGGCCGCCAGCGACGCCTCGCCGATGCTGCGCAACAGAAAGACACGTTAGCCTTCGCCTGATGTGTTTTTACGGGTTCGCGTTCAAAAAAGGTTGTAAGGATTTGCGCTTAAGAGGAGAAAATTTAGTTTGTGACGAAGCTGTGAAATACGGAGGCGTTCACTTTTCAGGACATATACCTATTGTCTGGCTGATCGATATCGATCGACCAAACGTTATCTTTCCTCTAAGAAAGGCTAGAAGAGAAAGAGAGAGTGGGTGTTGTCCTTTATTTTCTATACCTCCTTTTACTTTTTAGCTGATATAGTCTACGGAACTGAGACAGAAGTTGAGTAAGAATACGGGTAGCATCCAAATAATGTTGCTTTATAAAGTTGTTTGCATTTAAAAACAACAAAAGGAAATGTGATTAATTTTGCCAATATGAAAGCGAGTCCTACAATCCCTAGGGACTTAATTTGTTCCATGCCCCGTAAGACACCTTTTGGCTCTTTCAAACTACCTATTACTACTTGAATGGCCCGCTTTCAAGACAGCATAGAAAGCCAATAAAACAATATTTTGTTGTTTCAATGTTTTATTGATGTGAGAAACGTTACAAAAAGACACAGAAACGCGCGTAATGAAGCCTTTACAAAATATTTAGGGTTTAATTGAAGGAATGAACTCGCGCTCTGCGAACAAAGGGATATGAACTGTTTCGTCGTTCACACACACACACACACACACACACACACACACACACACACACACACACACACACACACAGCAACTTAAAAGGCAAAGAAAATTATGAAAGTTCAATTTGCGCTGCATCATTTTCACTTTGTCTACTTTTTTCGATTACGAGACTCATTAACCAGTGTCCGGAAATTATTTTCATGGTTGATAAGTCAGCCCTGAGAAGAAAATTTATAGCAAGGCCTAGGGAGGAGCGACATACATCAGTCGGTTGAAAACATTCTAGATTTTGAAAGTCATTGAATGACCATAAATTACACTAGTATTTCTGTGAAAAATAGACACCGCGTCGCATTAAAAAGAATGTAATAACTGATTTTTATCGCTGTCTTGCCTTGAGTTCGCTTGCAAACGGGTAACAAATACACTTATAAGTAGACGCAATGCCACAGACTTGACTTGAACATTTGAAAACTGAACAATACGTGCTTGGAACCAATAAATAAATAAAATTCTTACATATATGACGTTTTTAATTAATTTGAAAGGGACACACATGCCGAATTAGAAGAAAATATATTTGAGCGTTTAGACATGATTGCGTAATAAATTTACAGACTGACGAAATGCACAACTGCCCACTCCACCTCGCTCGGTCGATTACTTAAAGTCAAAAGTAGCATAAAGTAATAAATAATGCGGGAATTAACCTAAATCAAGACGAGCATATTGAAAGAACGTAGGGGCAATGAAAGCCAACGAATGCTCTTTTGTACGTAACAACTCTTCGCATTATTATAATTTAATTAAGACGAAATATACTCTTTGTTCGCTGCCCTACATTCGTTTGTGCAACCATCTGCAGGTATTTTATGAGACGTTTGGAGATGTCCTTCAGCCCCGAGAAAAAAGTCCTCCGGAGAGCAGACTGGATAAAAAGACCGGATCCAATTACTTCTCTCCATTTGAAGTCCGCGAATGGAATTGGTGCTCTCTCACCCAGCGCGCGCCACGTTCTGTTCGTCGCTTTGAGGCGACTGACGTGCCTCCCTCCCTCCCTCCCACCCTCTATATGTGGAACACAAATGGTGCAGCGAATCAGTAGTCTTTCTATATCATTTGGCGAGATTCCAGTTCACTCCTTCGAGAGCGTTCCGTGATCTGGCGCCTTGGCGACCTGTCAAATGCACGAGAAGTGCACCGGAGAAATAGCCGCGCGAGAATGAATTTTATTGTATCTTCGAACGGCAAGAGAGACAAGAATGGAAAGGAAGGGAAATTTCATTTGTTAAGATTTTGAAAGGTCGTCCATCTAGAATAAAATACAACTTTGGTAACAATAATAATATTGTTTGCATGAATGTTCTGCGACCCGAAATGATGGAAACATCTGAAGTCATGATATTAGGAATTAGAAAGACCATTTCGAATATTGCACTATTATATCATTTATTGATCAACAGTTATTTCACTGTCTCTTCAGGACATAATCGCTACCTTGAAATAAATACGACATATTAAGGATCCTTCCCTTATCTATCCACTGAACATGAGGTTGAGAACAGCACCCCAAAAAGTCGTGAGTGAACTGTTATTAACGAAATAATATCAACGAAACATTGGTTTATTTTGAACCCCCAAATCTTTAAAGTTGAATCATTAAACAGATTGTCACGAAGTGACATTTCTTTTCGTTCACCTACCCTATCAAGCTAATTGTATCGTATATTAAGCCATTAAAACTACCTATTTCTTGGGGTTTAAGAACACGTACGACTAATTGAGACATCCAGTGAGAGAGGGAGCTACTCCACAAACTCCAAAATACCACTTTATTGACATATTCGATGTGTTCGTAATCGCATACGTAGAATTTTTTATGTTCGCTGCTTCTCCCACTGGGCGCCGCAACTCGTTTCGGAGACCTCGCGCCGCTCACCTGTTGACGAAGTCGTTGTGCTGCAGGATGATCTCCATGGCGCTGTGGCGGTCGCACAGCAGGTTGTGCTTGGTGGGCGCGAAGCGGTTGTGCGTGTGCTCGTCGCAGAAGCGGGTGACGCGCGTCGACTCAGCCGCGAACAGCACCGAGGAGCGGGCGTCCGGTTGCACCAGCGCGCTCACGTTGCGCAGCGCGCCCGGGTTTGCGCACAACCTGCGGCACGAGCACAAGCAGCATGTCAGAATCGGGAGGTTATTTATATATATATATACTTATATATATATAATATATATATATATATATATATATATAAAGGGTGTTCTAACAAACGCTTAAACCAAAATCGTATTGATCCCTCATCCCCTTGCATACCATGACAAGTGTTATTTGGTTCTGCAACTAATCCGACAAATACAGGGTGTCTGTGGTGGAAACATCGAAACTATGATAATAAGTTCTTAAGTAAATTTGTCTAATAAACTCCTTCGCATATTTTGTCTAATAAACTCCTTCGCTATTTCGAATGGTTGAACCGCAATAAGCACTCAAAAGTTGGTTTGAAACCATACTTTTTATGCCAAATGAATATATTTGTTCTGAAAGAAAAATTAACTCAGAAATAAAAAATAAAAAAGCAATTGAATTGTGTAAATTAGGTGTTTTTTTAATTTCTGTGTTTATTTTCTTTGTGACCAAATATATTAATTTCTTTTGTAAATAATAAACAATTTACATGTTTTTGGAGTGTGTATGAGTCTCAAATGCAAATTTCTGCATAGAAAGACTTTCTTCTAATCAAATTTTGACTGCTTATTGCGGCTCAGCCATTCAAAATCTCCGAAGAGTTTATTAGACAAAATATGGGATTAAAATTGACTTAAGAGCTTATTTTCGACGTTTAGTTGTTTCTTCCCTGGACACTTGTATATTCCCCGGTAATGAACATATTCCATAAAGTGGGAGATGGCCAAATATGGCGTGATCGAGTATAACTCCAGCAAAAAGTCATGTCAAAACCGTCATGATCCCCCTCCCCTCACGTATCAAGAACAGAATATTAGACGGTTCCCTGGCAAGAAAACTCGCCAAATACGAGGTTCCCTCATTATTTTCCATCGGCAATTAACTCACCCTTGGTCATCAATGCGCAGGTCTGAACACCCGGTAACTTGGCTGTACTCCTCGTCCGCTCGGTAGCAAACCGGATATACTGGGTCTCCATGGTAGCCAATTTCGTCGAACACGCCGTATCGGTATTTCGCCCATTCTCGTGCCAGCGCCCTTCCTGTAAAAAAGAAAAAGAGTAAATTTTTTTTAGAGAGAGCAAAAAGGAGATGAAAAAGCTGTTATAATTCAGTGTGACGGAATTGAAAGCAAAATAAAAAATAATAGTAAGGCTTTGTAAGGCTAATAAAGTAGGCTTTGAAACAAGCGGAAATTTTCCTCGTTTGTTCACACTGTTTTCGCACTAATTATGCTCATAATAACATCCTCAATGTTGCAGTCGCCACAGTATTGAGAATATGAATTTCATTTTTCGCTATTGCAATGCTTTGAGCGATCTCATTGACAGCGACGGGCCACATTCAATGAATTTTAATTAACAAGACAGCAGTTTGACGTAGTACGTAAAATGACCGCGTGTAGCGTGAGCGACGCTAGCGCTAAACTGCTTTATTCTACTGCTCACAGAGCGCAGCACCCATCTGCGTTGCCGCCTCTACCAGAGGGTAGGCAAGCAAGGCTTGGGAAGTAAGAACTTGGTTATACCTAAACGAGTTTATTCTTCTGTGGACAATTGTTTTCTTCACCAGGAAATGAAATAGTGCTAACAATACATGTTTGTGCTGTTTCGTCCAACTAATCTCTAGAATTTCGGAACTGGGGCGATGGAATTCGGGATGAACACCAGCTAATTTTGTGGGGAAACCCCTTTAATGTTTGCATTAATCTCTGTTTCGTGTAACTTTGCATCGCATGTATACATGCATGCATGAGCGAGAAACCTTATCTCGTTGGCCATAGCACAACGCAGTGCTTGTGGAGCGCAAAGTGAATTAATTCCTTCGTTGCATGAGAGTAGGGGCTCTTCCCTCAAACTGATGGGACAGCTCCGAGAGCGGGTCGCTCATTGTTAAAGGAGGTGGAGTAACCAACATCTCCCTTCTCTGGACTTCAGAAACACATTCTGTTACTCACTGTCGAGGGTTGGGAAGTGAATTAAATGAAGGGGACATACTACAGCGAAGTACTCTTGTAGGAAAATACATTTCCACATATCGCAACTTGTTTACCAACAGAACATCTTTCGGTTTTGAAATTCATGTAAATTCCAATAACTTTGCAGGCACAAATCTGTTTGTCACAATCCAATATCTTGTTTAATGAGCGGGAACTTTAACTGTAACGATGGTTGACAACTAAATGAAGAAAAGAGAAAATGAGATGTCTCCTTTGTTGTTTGGATTAGGAAGTTCAAGAAATGGAATTGCATTTTCGACATACGTTTTCGTGAAGCCTGTGATACCGAAAGGAACATACTTATTTCATTAAATTACGTTCCAGATCGGATCAATTGCGAAACACGAAAATGCGTAGTAAGTGTGTAAACGACAGTTAACTGCAGCATCCCTTCGTATGTCATATAGATATGTAAATGACTACACTGTTCTCCACAGCAATTGTCGATCATTTCTACCATCCAAATGTATTGGTCGAGATTGAACCTCAAAGACCTCATTCCCCATCTTCACGAGCGAAGTGTCCAACTCACCGATATTCTTGGACTGCAGCAGCTGCTGGTAGCCGACGAAGATGAAGTCGCCGGGCTCGCGGCAGCCGGCCGGCTGCTGCGTCCAGGCGGCGTCGCCGAACACGGGGTGCGGGGGGCCGACGCGGACGTCCGCCGTCTCGCCCGTGGCGCTGTGCACGTACCGCGGCGCGCAGTTGTCGGGCCACGTGGACGGCAGCAGCACCGTCACCGACGCCAGGTACGCGCGCCCGTCCAGCGCCGCGTGCAGGAACGACGACGCCGTCGACAGCGACATCTGCGCACGCAGAAAAGAGACGGGGAGGTTATACACCATTCACCCATGTGTGGTTTCGCTCTTCAGTTTTTTAAACAACATTTTACATGCCCTAATCACACTGAAGAGAAAATACGAATATTTCTTAAACCCATTTGTTTTCCGTGTTTGCTAAATACACACGGGAAAATATATTGCCCCTCGGTGAAATTTCTGAAATAAATAAAGCATTATTAATGAAATATTTCGATTTTATTTCTAATTTATAAATTAATATCTATACCCACTGGGTTGTACCATATCTCCGTCAGGTATTTTCTTTCTAAACAAATTATGAATGCATGGAATTTTCATTCGAATTCTATTTGATCTATTCTGCTCCATTAAATCCAACATTTCCGTATTTTGGGATGTGTAAATATCATCAATGTTTCTCAATCATATTCTCATCAAATATTTTCAAAATTAATTCAGACTTCGAAAAAGGGTATTGATTATGATTCAAAAGTGTGTGCCGTTTTTCAATACATATTAGCTTTAATTAACAATTATATTAAGTTCTTTTATATTAATTTTCAATTTTTCAAGACGAACATACACGTAACAAGAAGAACGTACTGGTATTTTTCACAAGTTCCGAAGTAAGGAAGTCACAATACTGTTTCAACCGCAATTAGCGGGGGCTAAATTAGATGGTATGTGTAACACGTACTTGCCGCTTATTACACGTGCCGATTTGCATTTTGAAGCAACCTACGTTATTAATATGTATAGTACATTTTTCATTGTAACAAACTTCAGAACCTGTTTTAGTCTAGGGCCCGGATTAAAAGTTCTTTTGGCCCCCGCTGGCCTTCTCACATAGTCTATTCACAAGTATTCAAAACTTTTTCCACCCGGCAGTTTCGACGAGATCAAAGCCTCCCGGGAGAAAGGGGCGAATATTCACCGCAGTATCCAATTCATCCCCAGGCAGCGCAGCCGGCGGCCGCAAGAACGACACGAGCGGCGTGGCGCGGCGCGCCACATCAACGGCGTGGTCGAGGCGCCGGGAACCAGTTTGGTTGCAGCGAGCCCTAATCGCCGCTCCTAACACAGATATAACGGCGGAGATTTACCGCGGGACACGACCGCCCCCGGGGGAGCTCGCTTATTGAAGACACTGCTTTGCATTTTGATGACGAATTTATAATTTCAATAAGGCTCGGCCCGTCGCCGGCGCGCTCGCCCGCGCCGTATTAACGACCTTTTGAAGACATCCATTTGCGGGGAGTCTACTTTTATTACCGAACTATAATTTATCCCGATTAGCCCATTAACCGTGCTGGCGCGGCGCTGGCGGCCGCTCTCTGCCCGCCGCAAGCGCCGTGCCGGGCTGCGCGCGCTACTGGGTAGCTGACTTGCGTATACGCTGAGGGAGCAGACGTGTTTGCGCGCGGGGTGTACGCGCGGAGCGGGGTGTCTGCCGCCTTATCTCGTGCATACGTCACCATTACTATGACGACCGTGCAACTACGCGTTCTGCTCACATGGGCCGGGTTTCGGCACGCTTGCTTAGTGAATCACAGACTAGACTCGGTCCACGGTTCTACACGACGTGATTTCTGTTGTGAGACTTTGGTTATTGTTTGTAACACAGGTGTATAGCGTATGAATTTTAATTTTGTTTCTGACTTTTGGTGGAACGGTATGACTTCTGTTCGTAGTAAAGGCCAAACAATATACAGTTAAGAGAGGGAAATTATACGTCTCGTAACTAACAAATGTGACGAAGAAAAGAAATCGGGTGTTCTTCAACACACGTTGCATAACAGCAATTTTCGAGTAGCAAACTATACAGGAGGATCTGTTCGAACTGTGACATCAATTAAAAAGGGATTTGAAGCTCGCAGGGCAGTCTTGAGTACTCCCGGTAAGAAAATGCCATATTGTGAAGAAAAAAAATTCCACATTGTTGACTTTGACTTATTGGCTTCCTTGTTTTCCTTATTCTCGTATGATGTTTTAATTTTTGCCTACGGACATTTGGAGTAACATATTTGGGACAGCTAGTAGTTGCAGATTAGGCGGATGAAGGCAGCTTCCAAGAACACCGAGCGCATTCCTCAGCCTCGCAATCAAGTCAGTTTCCAACAATACATGCGGTGCGAGGGCCGTTTCGAGGCACTGTAGCACCACACGAGCTGTTCTGTGGGCGTGCTGCTCGCGGGCGGAGGCAACGCTTCGAATCGTTGATCGATTCTAGTTCGATGTATTGGATGGTGCATTCCGTTCTTTGGTATTATTGAACGACGGCGGATGTAGGAGGTGGTTGTGTACGTCAAGCCGATTAATTTTACAGCAATCTAACGTGGAGGGGGAGCCCTCAAGGCAAATTGTGGTTCTCTATTGAAGAACTGATAGATAGAACTCTTCTTGTGTAATATAGAAACATATTTTTATACCAATATGTAGAAAAGTAATTTTGAAACGTTTACATGCAAGATGTCAGTTTTGCAACTTTTATCATGGAAAAGAGTTAATTTATTTAGTTAACACTTATACATTCACAAGAACAATCATACTGCTCTATTAACATCCGAACTGCATTTTGAAATTTAATATTAACTTTTTTCAGGTTAAAATACAATCAATCACAAAACTTTTACCTTATGTTGCTATTTTTGCAACTTAAGAAATCCAAGCCCTTAATCAATAACATATTTTTTTAAAGATAAGATAATTTTCGTCTTGGAGACGTAACTATTTTGCAGGCGGGGGGAACACGCTATCTTGATTCTCGCCATTTTTCGGTCTTGATTATTGCTTTTTGGCTTATTTTTCTACAAGTTGCCTTCGCGATATTTACACTGTTAACATGACACGCCGTCTTGTTTCCCAAATACCCCATCACCCTGTTTTCCCACTAACCCGTCAACAAGCTCTCATCCTTCGTCGTCCCCTCCAACAGACTGCTGCCGGCCTCCCCCGACGTTCGACGCTTGCAGCCCGCAGCGATAAATAAATAAATAAAAAATAAATCTCGCCTTCAGCCTCCACCGAGGTGGTGAACGGCTTTGTAAGCGCTTCGTCCCATCCGCGGTGCCGGAACGCGCCCCGAGTGGCCACCGCCG